CATCCTCAAAAATACAACTTGCCCAACAATTGTGCCCGCGGCGTATACGGAGGACAATGTGAGCCGCGCTCTCTTGAAGGAGGCTCTCCTCCTTCAGCTCCTGCCACCTCCTGGCTCCTCCCCCGACACCTGTCCGTCCCGAAGATGGCCCCTCCTCAGGCACCAGGAAGTGCCGCCGGTTCCCATGAATGCTGCTGAGAGCTCCTCCTCCCACAGGACCTAACGCAGACACTTCATTTGCATAATTAAAGCTCCGGTGTTGGTTTTGAGCGACGGGGCATTTCCATGAGTACGAGTCGTCCTGCAGGTGCTCATCACTGACTTATATAGAAGGCCTTTCCCGCATTCTGGGCACTAAGGGCATGAATACAGCCCCCACCCCCCTATGTGAGACTTCTGATGTACAGAGCAAGGTCTGATGAGTAACATTTCCCAAACTCAAGGTAGGAGAAATGGCCTTTCACCGGGGTGCTATGTCTGATGTTTAGTAATTCCATGAAAAACCTTTTCCACACTTCCAACAGCAATACGGCTTCTCCCCCGTTGTGACACTTCTGGTGCGAGTTTAGATGCGGCTTCTGTGAAAAACATTTTCCACACTCCGAGCAAGAGTAAGGAGTCTTCCCAGTGTGAGGTCTTCGACATGCACAGAAATCAAAACTTCTTGCAGAACATTTTCCGCACTCCAGGCAGGAAACCGGCATTTCCCACATCTGGCTTATCCCATCAGAAAGATGGGACTTCCTTAAAAGAACATTTTTCCAGACTCAGGACAGGAGTTCACCTTCGCTCCTGTGTGCGACATATAGTTCCATAGTTAGTCAGGTTCAAAAAGGGCACATGTCCATCGAATTCAGCCTATAGAGATATGAAAAAAGTTTAGTTGGGACATTTGTGGAAAAACCTTTCCCACACTCAGGGCAGTAATATGACTTTTTCCTCTGTGTGAGACTTCTGGTGTCTAAAGTGATGTGTCTGGGAAAAACCTTTCCCACACTCAGGGCAGGAATACGGTTTCTCCCCCGTGTGAATTCTTTGATGTCTGATTTCCGTGCAAAACATTTCTCACAATGGGAGCAGGAATATGGCTTTTCGACCACGTGCAGCTTCAGATGTATGATAAGTTTGGACTTCTGTAAAAAAAACATTTCCCGCACACAGGACAGAAATACGGTTTCTCCCCTATCTGAGTTCTTTTATGTACAGATAGGTATCCTTTCCGTTCAAAACATTTCCCACACTCGGGGCAGCAATATGATATTTCCCCCGTGTGAGACTTCTGGTGTCTAAAGTGGTCATCTTTCCGTGAAAAACTTTTCCCACACGTGAGGCAGGAATGCGGTTTCTCCCCCGTGTGAATTCTTTGATGTCTACATAGGTCTCCTTTCCGTGCAAAACTTTTCCCACAATGGGAGCAGGAATATGGCTTGTCGAGTGTGTGCAGCTTCAGATGTATGATAAGTTTGGACTTCTGTGAAAAACCTTCCCCGCACTCAGGACAGGGAAATGTCTTCTCCCCCTGAATTCCGGCACCATCCCCCGCAGGATGAGGTCGCTCAGAGTCAGAGGGATTCCGTGGTCTCTCCACACTGTGAGGTCCACCATCCATAGCTGAGCTCATTGTCTCTTCTCCCGCACAATCTGCTGTGATGTCCTCATCTTCCATCTTACAACCTGGAGATAAAGTCAGAGGATCCTTTGAGGGTTCCTCCATGGCGTGTCCTGGAAACATAGAGACACATGACGGAGAGATATGAGAGGGTTAGATGACTTCACTCAACATTCCATCTGGATCAGGAGGTCTGAGGGAGCGGATGTTCTCTGTGGAGGTCCCAACCAGCCGGGGCTCCTCCCCCTCTTCACTCAACATTCCATCTGGATCAGGTCTGAGGGAGCGGATGTTCTATGAGGAGGTCCCAAACAGCCGGGGCTCCTCCCCCTCTTCACTCAACATTCCATCTGGATCACAAGGTCTGAGGGAGCGGATGTTCTCTGTGGAGGTGCCAACCAGCCGGGACTCCTCCCCCTCTTCACTCAACATTCCATCTGGATCAGGAGGTCTGAGGGAGCGGATGTTCTATGAGGAGGTCCCAACCAGCCGGGGCTCCTCCCCCTCTTCACTCAACATTCATAGTTACATAGTTACATAGTATTTGAGGTTGAATAAAGACATTAGTCCATCAAGTCCAACCTATTAGGATCTCATTCTAGGAGTACCCGTACCCCTGTATATTACGGGTACCCCTGTATGTTACCTGTACCCCTGTATGTTACCTGTACCCCTGTATGTTACCTGTACCCCTGTATATTACCTGTACCCCTGTATATTACCTGTACCCCTGTATAAGGCCCTCCTCCCCTCATGGGAGTATACTACAGGCCCTCCTCCCCCCATGGGAGCATTATACAGCAATGCAGAATACCACCAGCTGTAGAGGACTACAAATCCCAGCAATATATTATACAGCAATGCAGAATACCACCAGCTATAGAGGACTACAAATCCTAGCAATACATTATACAGCAATGCAGAATACCACCAGCTATAGAGGACTACAGATCCCAGCAATATATTATACAGCAATGCAGAATACCACCAGCTATAGAGGACTACAACTCCCAGCAATATATTATACAGCAAAGAGGTCATGTTTCTGGGGAAACCATTTTCCACACTAATGTCAGGAATGTGGTTCCTTCCGTGTGTGAACTCTTTGATGTCTAAGTTGGTGTGATTTCCGTGTAAAACGTTTCCCACACATGAAGCAGGCATGTGGCTTTTCACCCGTGTGAAGCTTCAGATGTCGGGTAAGATTAGTCTTCTCTTGAAAACGTTTCCCACACTCAGGGCAGATATACGGCTTCTCCCCCGTGTGAGTTCTGTGATGTATAAATAGGTCCGATTTCCGTACAAAACCTTTCCCACACTCGGAGCAGACGTTTGGCTTTGTGCCCGTGTGCAGCTTCAGATGTAAGTTAAGATGGGACTTCTGTGGAAAACATTTCCCACACTCGGGGCAGATATACGGTTTCTCCCCCGTGTGAGTTCTTTGATGTACAGATAGGTCTGCTTTCCGTTCAAAACATTTCCCACACTCATGGCAGGAATATGGTTTCTCCCCGGTGTGAATTCTTTGATGTCTACATAGGTCTCCTTTCCGTGCAAAACCTTTTCCACACTCGGGGCAGCAACATGATATTTCCCCCGTGTGAGACTTCTGGTGTCTAAAGTGGTCATCTTTCCGCGAAAAACATTTCCCACACTCATGGCAGGAATATGGTTTCTCCCCCGTGTGAATTCTTTGATGTCTATATAGGTCTCCTTTCCGTGCAAAACATTTCCCACATTTAGGGCAGGAAAATGTCTTCTCCCCCTGAATTCCGGCACCATCCCCCGCAGGACAAGGTTGCTCAGAGTCAGAGGGATTCCATGGTCCACCCACACTGTGAGGTCCACCATCCATAGCTGAGCTCATTGTCTCTTCTCCCGCACAATCTGCTGTGATGTCCTCATCTTCCATCTTACAACCTGGAGATAAAGTCAGAGGATCCTTTGAGGGTTCCTCCATGGCGTGTCCTGGAGACATAGAGACACATGACGGAGAGATATTAGAGGGTTAGATGACTTCACTCAACATTCCATCTGGATCAGGAGGTCTGAGGGAGCAGATGTTCTATGAGGAGGTCCCAACCAGCCGGGGCTCCTCCCCCTCTTCAGTCAAAGGGCCTTTGCTCCTCCTCTCAGATCACTTCTACATTGACACAGCCTTGGTAGAAGAGGCGGAGCCAATGGGGACTAGGTGGAGCATGCTCTTCACCCAACCACAAGCCTGGGCAGTGGCTTGTGGCTGGCATGTGATCTCTGAGGAACAAAGTTCTGACCTGCAGAACCTTCAGCAGAGAAGAAGTGACCGCAGGCCGAAGCTTCCGGAACTGGTAGAGAAACCCAACCAGCTGAGCCCCAGGACGGGTATCAGGGAGGTGACCATTACCAACCTATTATTGGCTGATATCACTAAGCTCCGCCCTACTCTGGACCAATCAGTGTGCAGGAACAGAGCAGAGATAAGAGAAGAGTATATTGTGGGTCACCTGAGCTGATCTCTGTAGGCGTGTCCTCCTCTATGGATGTCCTCATCATTCCGGCCTCCTCCTCCGCATATCGCTGATCATCCCTCACATACGTCTCTTCTACTTCACCCTCAACTTTCATCTTCATCAGATCTTCACCCTAAACCAACAGAACGGCAGAAAGTCTCATCTTGTAGAGTCCGCCCACCTTCTCCACATGTTCCCGCCCCTCAACTCCACCCACCTGATCATGGCGGGGGATGGTGAGATCTTCCTGGGTGGGGTCCCGGGAATACAGAGGACATCTCTCTGGTGGGTTCTCCTCCGTCACACCAAGCTCCTCCTCTTTTATCTCTTCTTTAACAACGACGTCATCACTCAGGTTTCCATTCTGAATATAGAAGACAATGACATCAGAGGTGACAATGTAGAGACCCCAAAGACACCCCCAGTGATGGTCCATCACCTACCTGATCATGGTGGGGGATGGTGAGATCTTCCCGGGAGGATTCCAGAGGACGGGGACATCTCTCTGGTGGGTTCTTGTTATTGGGTGTCTCCATCATGACGTCCTTGTAGACATCTTTGTGTCCTTCAGAAGGTTCCTCCGTCACCCCGTACTCCTCATCCTCCTCTTTATATTCTTCTTTCACATGATGATCCCCGAGGTCTCCGCTCTGAGAATAGAAGAAACACGAGTCCTCATCAATATCACACACAATGATACCGTCACCCAGAATTCCCGGCACCGCTCACCTCTCCCGTCAGCACCGCCATCATCTTCTTGGTGACTTCTAGAACCTTCTCCATGTTGGGTCTCTCGGGATTTAGGGAGTCACATGATCACCAGACTTCAGAGGAGGAAATCTCTGGATGGAGAAACCATGTCATGTTAGAATCCTCCCCCTCCCCCCATAGTGTGATAGAACTTCCTTTATACCAGAATGGAGGCGTGTCCTTCCCACCCCCCCGATCTCCTTTATATAGAGATCAATTATTATCTTATTACCTCCTCTGCTGCCACTTCCAGCAATGTCTCCTCTCTACTTCCTCCCAACTCACCCGGAACTTCCTATTTATACCCGACATCACTTCCTGTCTGAGTCATAGAGACTTCCTGTATGTGGGTGTCATAGAGACTTCCTGTCTGGGTATTGGTGAGGTCACCACCTGGTGGAGCTCAGAGGAACCTCTCGTAGTGTGATCACGGCCTTGTGCTGTGTGTGTCCCCTCATAGATGGCTCATGTCGGCCCATTACGGGTCAGATCCTCCCAGGACAACTCCTAACTAGACCATAGCAGGGGTGTACCCCCCCTCCCCCACCACTGATCACATGGTGCGCACTTTGGTTTTGTCTCCACCAATCAGGGCACGGAGAGAATTTGCTGCACAAGGATGGTGAGGCGGGACAATGCCGATTCTCAGGATTGGCCGTTCCTCCATGTTGGCCCCCCGTGGAAAGATGAAGGTCGCAGTCCCAATTCCGCTGCCACAGGAGTCCGGCCTCCATTAGCAGGGACGACTTTATCCTCCGAACATCTGATCCCGATGGGCTGGAGGTCGGGAGGACCCCGGCTCTGCGTCAGTTGGAGATCTCAGAACCACTTATAGATAAAACTCTTGAAGGCCACAAACTCTTCCACAAGTTCTTCTTCTTCTCCTCGGGTCCGGAGGGGGGGTCCAGATTTGTTTTTTGGATAAAGCCGAGAGTCATGTTTTGGGCTCCGAGGACACGAACCGGATTCCTCTGTCGGGATGTTTACTCTGATAAAAGAAACAGTATTGCTGATGTAGCCCCCCCTCCCCCTCCCCCTCCGACCTTCTCTGAGGCGGCTACTAGACATTAGTGATAGCCGGGGCTGTAGTTGGCCTGGCTGGATTTGTAGTGGTGATCAACCCCCCCCCCCCCTGGGCGGAGTGAGACTCTGTCATATTGTGGGACAGCCAATAGGAGACACTGTAATGTGTGTACAGTACAGGAGCCAATCAGTGGGCTTCTTTCAGCCAGTGGTGTCTGCCGGGACAGAGTACATATATTGGTGGGAGCTGCCATGTGCTCTCTCTCTCTCCGGGACCAGCCATGGATTAGGGCTGGGGTCCTGTTCAGCCTGCCCCCCCAGGCTAGGCCGAGACCTGGGGGTGGGCATGGGCTTGAGTGAGGGAAAAAGTTTCCCCGAGGCCTCCAACATGGAGGAGGCCTGAGAGATGGAGAGAAGAAAAGAACCAGGACCAGCGCAGGCTCTTGAAGTGCCCGGGAACTATATGGGCTTCAGAGCATGGCCGGTGTCTATCCTGGATTGAGGATCTGCATCCATCTGGACTGTACATCAGTGGTTGTCTCATGTGGTCGGGTGGATCTGCAATGGTGACTTTCACAAGGTCTGGAGCTGATGATGGTTACCCCTAGACACCTGGAGCCCCCTATACCCTCTGGACACCTGGAGCCCCTATACCCTCTGGACACCTAGAGCCCCCTATACCCTCTGGCCACCTGGAACCCCTATACCCTCTGGACACCTGGAGCCCCTATACCCTCTGGACACCTGGAGCCCCCTATACCCTCTGGACACCTGGAGCCCCCTATACCCTCTGGACACCTAGAACCCCTATACCCTCTGGACACCTAGAGCCCCCCATACCCTCTGGCCACCTAGAGCCCCTATACCCTCTGGACACCTGGAACCCCTATACCCTCTGGACACCTGGAACCCCTCCCCCTTCTCTCCCTAAGGAGATGTTCAATAAATCGTTCACTTAGCATCATATCACTGAAGTGGACGTCCATTGGTGGGCACCAGAAGGGGGCGGTCAGTGGTAATGGGGCGCAGCTGGAGATCATCCCCCGAGACCGACTACATGTGGACCGGGCCCCAGCGCTCCCTCCGGGGAGAGGCCGGGATCCGGAACGAAGGAGATTCCCGACTAATCCTCATAAATCAGCCGACAGGCCGAGCTCTTGTATTTGCCGTAATCGGAAGACTGAATAATAACGATGTGCCAAATAATGATCCCAATCAGGGATGTCGCCGGACCAGCACCGGGACCGGCATTTTCACAAGTACTAATCCCCCGACACGTGGCGCCGAAGCTTGCGCTATGTTTGTTTTCTTTACTTGCCGAGCGTCGCTGCTCCGGTGGGGGCGGTGCTGTAGGTTAGGTGGGGTCCTAATTTAGGTGGCCGGCGACTGCCCAGAGGACCCCCCACCTGGAGCGCCGCCCCCACCGGAGCAGCAGCGACGCTCCTCTCCAGCTCAGCGCCGCCCTCGGGGCAACAGTGAGTGAGACGGGGGCGGGGCTTAGTGTTTTGTGTGAACACCAACAATCTATTGCTGCCGTGTATTGGGCGTGTGTAACATACATGTACTATGTACTACATATAGAATACACGGCAACAAACAATCAGCTTACAAAGAATCTCATTATAAGAAATATTTATTCTCCAACATTTTGTGTCATACAAAAAAATAAACTTTAACACGTTTCCATCAATCCGGAGACGTCGTACGTCCCACTTCCCTCCAGCAGGGGGCGCTCCGAGTCACTGACGCCGCCCGTGCAGACTGATCCCTACTGCAGTGACATGGTCAGCCCTGTCGTGTAGTCTGATCTCCCCTTCTCTCCATCCACAAGCTCCTCCCCCTCACCATGATGTCTTCCTCTGAGGGGAGATCAGACTACACTGCTAGAGGGACCCAACCAGCAGGGGCAGCCCCTCCCCCCCTCTCCTAGGAGAGGAAGTCAGACACAACATGGAAGTCTATAGTCCGCTCTGATGTCCTTATAAAGGCCATTGGAGAGCTCGGCCAGGTGGAGGTGTGTATGAAGGTGAGCTCCGCCTTCCCAGGGTCAGAGCTCCGAGGAGTCATAGTAGGGATCCACCGATGTCATTTCCAGATCCGGTCCGAGAACCGATACAGACTCAGCATTCCAGGACAGAGGTGGAGCACCAGGGCCCGGTCCCAAACGCTGCAACCCTAACACCGACTGCAAGCTATAGAGGACTACAAATACCAGCAATACATTATACAGCAATGCAGAATACCGCCAGCTATAGAGGACTACAAATCCCAGCAATACATTATACAGCAATGCAGAATACCACCAGCTATAGAGGACTACAAATCCCAGCAATACATTATACAGCAATGCAGAATACAATTCTGCATTGCTGTATAATGTATTGCTGGGATTTGTAGTCCTCTATAGCTGGTGGTATTCTGCATTGCTGTATAATGTATTGCTGGAATTTGTAGTCCTCTATAGCTGGTGGTATTCTGCATTGCTGTATAATGTATTGCTGGGATTTGTAGTCCTCTATAGCTGGCGGTATTCTGCATTGCTGTATAATGTATTGCTGGGATTTGTAGTCCTCTTCAGCTTGGAGTCGGTGGCAGAACTACCAGGGTTGCAGTGTTTGGGCCCTGTCCCCCCACCACTGTCCTGGAATCATTAGTCTGTATTGTTGTAGAAAAGCAGTCACATGACACCAAAGAAGAGGTATCGGTAATTGGTATCGGTAATTGGTATCGGTGAGTACTTGAGGAAGTATCGGTGCTCGGCCTGGAATAAGTGACAGTTGCAGAGTGACAGGCCGTCCATCCCCATCAGTTCTGGAAGGTCAGCGGCAGGTTCTTTTTCAGGAACATCAGAATCTCGGCATGTTCACCTAGCAGGCGGTTCCCGCTGTCAGCCGTGCTGGACAGTCTGCTGCAAGGGGCCGAGAGGTACTTTTGGGCCATTTGGGCCAGAGCGGGGAATTGCAGTTTATGAACGGCCCAGTACCTGAGGGGTTTGTCCGAACGAGGAGCGGTGACCTCCCCGAGATAGACTTCCAGCTGTATGCCGGCGGCGTTGGGGGCGCGGCTCTCAGATATGGACTCCGCCGCGATCTCGTGATAGACGCTCTCCAGGCTGGTCCCCGCGCGGCCGCCGTCACCACTTCTCATGGCCGCTTCCTCCAGCGCCTCGGCTGCGGCCGTCTCTGCAGAAATCTTCTCCACTTCCAGCCGGAGCATTTCTTTGGCTTGCCGGCCGGTGTCCCCGCGTGAGAAGAATCGATCTTTATACCTGGAAGAGGAAGAAGGAAGCATGTGACCCAAACAAGGACAGCAACAGGTACTGAAGGAAACCCCCGGGGACCCACCACAAGGACAGCAACAGGTACTGAAGGAAACCCCCGGGGCCCCACCACAAGGACAGCAACAGGTACTGAAGGAAACCCCCGGGGCCCCACCACAAGGACAGCAACAGGTACTGAAGGAAACCCCCGGGGCCCCACCACAAGGACAGCAACAGGTACTGAAGGAAACCCCCGGGGCCCCACCACAAGGACAGCAACAGGTACTGAAGGAAACCCCCGGGGCCCCACCACAAGGACAGCAACAGGTACTGAAGGAAACCCCCGGGGCCCCACCACAAGGACAGCAACAGGTACTGAAGGAAACCCCCGGGGCCCCACCACAAGGACAGCAACAGGTACTGAAGGAAACCCCCGGGGCCCCACCACAAGGACAGCAACAGGTACTGAAGGAAACCCCCGGGGCCCCACCACAAGGACAGCAACAGGTACTGAAGGAAACCCCCGGGGCCCCACCACAAGGACAGCAACAGGTACTGAAGGAAACCCCCGGGGCCCCACCACAAGGACAGCAACAGGTACTGAAGGAAACCCCCGGGGCCCCACCACAAGGACAGCAACAGGTACTGAAGGAAACCCCCGGGGCCCCACCACAAGGACAGCAACAGGTACTGAAGGAAACCCCCGGGGCCCCACCACAAGGACAGCAACAGGTACTGAAGGAAACCCCCGGGGCCCCACCACAAGGACAGCAACAGGTACTGAAGGAAACCCCCGGGGCCCCACCACAAGGACAGCAACAGGTACTGAAGGAAACCCCCGGGGCCCCACCACAAGGACAGCAACAGGTACTGAAGGAAACCCCCGGGGCCCCACCACAAGGACAGCAACAGGTACTGAAGGAAACCCCCGGGGCCCCACCACAAGGACAGCAACAGGTACTGAAGGAAACCCCCGGGGCCCCACCACAAGGACAGCAACAGGTACTGAAGGAAACCCCCGG